ATGTAGAAGAGAAATTTTGTTTGCTAAAAAGCTAGGTGTTAATCCTCTCACTATCCCTCTCTCTTACACTCTTTCTTTCTTTTTTTTCTTTTTTTCAGTGATTAGGATTTTGTTACTCCTACTCACATATTGTAATATCAAAGACATATTTATTTATATCAATTTGCTATAGTTTATGGTAATCAAGGAGAAGGTGCAATGACTTTTTGTCGATTCCATCTTTAAGATTACATATTCTTGAATACATTCTTTTTTTTTACTTCTTATTTAAATAAATACAGTTTAAACTAACTAAACTAAAAAATGTCATCAGAAACTGAACATAATTATTATCTGAAAGACATACTCAAAACGCATATTCCAGATATTTTGACGAACATAAAAACATATAATGAGCCATCTGAAACATTTCTATATTCGCATCTATTTTGACGCTGTATCAAGGGGGAAAAAACAACACTTCACTACACTACACTTTTTCCACTACGGTAGTGGTGTCGTAGTGATTTTGTAGTGGTGACGTATTGGATGTGTAGTAGATGAGTAGTGGGCTGCAGTGGTTGTGTAGTGGGCTGCGGTGGTTATATGGTGGGCTGTAGCTAGCTGTAGTGGTTGTGCGGTGGGCTGCAGTGGATGTGTAGTGCAGAGTAAAACAAATACGTGTTGCATGTCTTGCAGTAAAAATGAATGATGGCTATAATACTTAACGCTTTTTTAAAAGAAATGATTGAAGATGGAAAGTGATTAAAATAAAAACAAAGTGACAGTGACAAGATTCGAAGTCGTGACTCCGGAGAGATCAGTGCCTTAAGCTGGCATCTTAGACCGCTCGGCCACACTGTCTGTCATCTTTTAAGACGGAAAAGATTTAAAATGAGCTGTAACAAAAACGTGAAGGTATATATCTAAGAAAATCAAGGGGGAAAAAACAACACTTCACTACACTACACTACACTTTGCACACTTTGGTTACATAGTGGCCTGGAGTTAGCTGTAGTGGTTGTGTAGTGCACTGTAGTGGTTGTGTGGTGGGCAGTAGTGGATGTGTAGTGGGCTGTAGTGGTTGTGTGGTGGGCAGTAGTGGATGTGTAGTGCGCTGTAGTGGTGGTGTGGTGGGATGTAGTGGATGTGTAGTGGGCTGTAGTGGTTGTGTGGTGGGGTGTAGTGGGCTGTAGTGGACAATCCCTTGTAGTGTAGTGTAGTGTTGTTTTTTCCCCCTTGCGCTGTATAGTAAAGGACGCTGATGGTGGTCATACTAGTTACTGATTGTACTTTTAAACGATGAAATAATAAACAGTTTAGTACGACATTTAGTTCGAAATTATAACTGACATTCTCCTGGAAAAATATTTATTTCCTACTTAGGACAGTTTCATGCAAAAACATCAACACTATATCTGTCCACTGAAATCTTTTGAAAAATGTTTGTTGCTTCTTCTTCATTACATTGTTTAATTTCTGCAATGATTTTGATAAAACATGTTTTCACTGTTATAGCTAATTTTTTTGCATTTCCACATGTATAAAAGCGTGCACCATTATGATACAAATTTGCAATTTCATCTCTATCTTCCCAAACTAAATCTTGAACATACTTTTTATCATTAGTTTCTTGACGCGAGAAAACAGATTTGACTTGCACTACACCAAGTTTTGACCATTCATCAAATTCATTTGAATATAAAAAATCTCTATCTGATCGACATCCATAATAAAGTATTGTACGGCCAATTTCTCTTCCACATATTGATTGTTCTGCTCGTTCTTGAACAAATCCACGGAATGGTGCAATTCCAGTTCCAGCAGCAATCATTACAATTGGTGTTTTTGTATCTTCAGGCGGATGAAATGCCAGATTACTTGCTCGCACATTACAACTGATTCGATTACCTTCTTTTAAACTTGAAAGATAATTTGATGTAACACCATAATATTGTCCAACTCCACTTAATGCTGGCGTATTAAGAATATCGACTGTTAATGTTATAACTTCTGGATTCCATAAAGGTGAGGATGAAATACTATACTGACGAATGCGAAGTGATGGAAGCATTCGAAGATATTGTGAAAATGAAAGATTACATGAAGAATATAATTGAAGAATGTCTAATACACTAACACGTTTATTCAGAATTTCTTTTTCATATACATCTCCACTTAAATTTCTAAGATTCA